CTGCTCTTGGGAGTTTCACACACAGCTCACTGGGGTCTGAGAGCTGGAGTGTGCAAATTACAATCCCGTGATTTCTCTCCCGCTGGCACACACGCCAGATGGATCTTGCACACCTGCAGCAGGAAGTGCTCATAAGAACATTCATAGCAGTAAATAGCAAAAATCTGAAGACCAATCAAATTCCATCATCTGCAACATGGATAAATAATTTGTGATATTCGCGTCCCACAGAACACCTACCAGCACTGGAAAGGAATAAATTACTCCAACTGAATCTCAGGAATTATGTTGCATAAAAAATGCAAGCAGTAGAAGAATCTGTACAGCATAATTCTACTTATGCAAAGCTAGAAAACATGCAAAACTAAACAATATATATATATTTGTTTGTTTGTTTGTTTGTTTTGTTTTGTTTTTTTGCGGTACGCGGGCCTCTCACTGTTGTGGCCTCTCCCGTTGCGGAGCACAGGCTCCAGACGCGCAGGCTCAGCGGCCATGACTCACGGGCCCAGCTGCTCCGCAGCATGTGGGATCCTCCCAGACTGGGGCATGATCCCATGTCCCCTGCATCGGCAGGCGGACTCTCAACCACTGCGCCACCAGGGAAGCCCTAAACAATATATGTTTGAGGGATACATCTGGAAGTGGTAAAACCATAGGCAAGAGAATGATAAACACAAAATTTTGGATAGTGTTTGCATCTGGGGGGCGGGATGAGGGCATAAGGTAGAAGGAATCAGATGGAAGACGTGGGCGTGGGCACCTATAACCTTCTCTTCATTACCTGGGTCAGGGTACTTGGTGTTCATTTGAATATCTTTCTTTATGCCTTCCATGGAATAGGGTTTTTTTGTATTGAAAATTCATGGGACTGATAAACACCAAGGTCTGGTTAGTTGTTACCTCTAAGCAAGAAGGGGATGGGATTGAGATGCATTGCACTGGGCCTTTAACAGTAGAGCACAGGGAACTCTGCTCAATATTATGTAACAACCTAATTGGGAAAAGAATTTGAAGGAGAATAGATACATGTATACATATAACTGAATCACTTTGTTGTACAACTGAAATGAACACAACATTGTAAATCAACTATACTCCAATATAAAATAAAAAGTTGAAAATATATATATATATTTGTGAGAACATATTAATAGCATGTGAAATCGCTCTTCCTCACAATCTAATAGGAAAGAATAGATGTAAACCCCATCAGTTCCACTGAGCAAGAGATGATATTCCATAAAAAAACAACAAAAAAGTATCAATTAAGTTTTATTTCTTTAGAAAACCTGACATGTGGCAAAATTTTGATGAAGCTGGGAAATGGGCACAGGAGTATTTGTATAGACATTCTCTGTAATTTTCTTTTTGTTTGAAATATTTCCTAATAGAAATATTAAAGGAAAAGAAACATGTGCAGGGGTCTTCCTGGTGGTGCAGTGGTTAAGAATCCGCCTGCCAATGTAGGGGACACAGGTTCTAGCCCTGGTCCGGGAAGATCCCACACGCCGCGGAGCAACTAAGCCCATGCGCCACAACTACTGAGCCTACGTTCTAGAGCCCGCGAGCCACAACTACTGAAGCCCATGCGCCTAGAGCCCGTGCTCCGCAACAAGAGAAACCACCGCAATGAGAAGCCCGTGCACCACATCGAAGAGTAGCCCCAGCTCGCTGCAACTAGAGAAAGCCCGTGCGCAGCAACGAAGACCCAAAGCAGCCAAAAATAAATAAAAATAAAATAAATAAATTAAATTTATATATATATATATAAAGAAATGTGTAGAAAGAGAGTTTGGAGGGAAATACATCAAAATCTGGGTGTGGTCGTGTTGGGGGTGCAGGGGCTAAGATTATAGGTGATACCCTGCACTTTTCAAAAAATTTTCAATGAGGAGTCATTACTTTTTTTTTTTGCTGTACGCGGGCCTCTCACTGTTGTGGCCTCTCCCGTTGTGGAGCACAGGCTCCGGACGCGCAGGCTCAGCGGCCATGGCTCACGGGCCCAGCTGCTCAGCGCATGTGGGATCTTCCCGGAGCGGAGCACGAACCCGTGTCCCCTGCATCAGCTGGCGGACTCTCAACCACTGCGCCACCAGGGAAGCCCGTCATTACTTTCATAATTAAAAATCTATTAAAAATCTCTTCCATCAACTTATTTATCATCTTCTAAAAATGGAACACAGAGATAAGAACCCTTGAAGCATTCAGACAGTTGTTGAATTCCATGCTCATTAAGGGAAACAGACTGGCCAGCTGTTTGAATGGAATAAGCGTTCCTCCCGAAGCAAGATGGCGACTTGGCCTCCAGGCCCCGGGTGCAGACTGCTGGGCTTGGAAACTGGCGCTGTGTCTTGAGTAGGTTTCCTGTTCTTCCTGTGCTTCATCGTCCTCTTCTGTAAACTGGGTGTAAGGCAATGAATACCTTACAGGTAAGTATAAGGATTATATGCGTGAATGTCACATGCTTAGAACAGTCTGGCACATAGAAAGCCCCAGGTGTCTAAGCTTGTGCATTAATAAGTCAGTGGAACAAAGGAGGGGGGGCTTGGGAAGGGGGCAGTGCTGAATTTTGAGGGGATCCTTGCGATCCTGACATAACCAGGCCTTGCACTTCACGGGTTGGGACAGTTTCTGTGGCTCCCTTTAAGAGGTTAAGAAAAAAGAAAGGCAGAAAACTTGTGAAAGCTGTTGGGAGCAGTCTGCTGACCAGGGGTGACAATGTCACTTCATCCCCCATCACACAGTGCACCCACCCTTGGCCTGGTTGTCACAGAAACCCAGCTCCAGGGAAGAATCGGGGCCTCAGTGCGTTGTGAGGCCAGCTCTTTGCAGCCCAGTGGAGCCTGGTTGTTGGGTTTACCCTGTGTGCGCCTGGCCTTTCCCTCTTTTTTTTCTTTTTTTGAGGTACGTGGGCCTCTCACCGTTGTGGCCTCTCCCGTTGCGGAGCACATGCTCCAGACATGCAGGCTCAGCGGCCACAGCTCACGGGCCCAGCCGCTCCGCGGCATGTGGGATCTTCCCGGACCGGGGCACGAACCCGTGTCCCCTGCATCGGCAGGAGGACTCCCAACCACTGCGCCACCAGGGAAGCCCTGGCCTTTCCCTCTTGATGGATCCATGGGAGAAGAGCCTTGCGTTGCCTGCAGGGCTGGTTCTGGGGTAAATTCCAAGGCACCCTGGGTCCCGGAGACCCAGAGCTGCTGGAAGTTCAAGGCTCAGGGGCCTGTGAGGTCCATCTTGTTACTGCAAGCACCACCCAAGGGCCTCGCAGAGCCCAGCCTGCCTGACGGTCTCCTTGCCAAAGATCTGAAGTTATAGTTTCTACTACAGGCATTTTCTAAGTCATTGTTACGCTCTGCGTTTAGGTGTTGCTGGCATGTTCTCCTCAGATCTCAGGGACTCTGAAGAGGAAAACAGTTTCTCCTCTTCTCCGGATGGGGAAACGGCTTCTTGGTCTCATCACCCCGCTGGTGACAACCATGGATCCGTCCAGAACCGCCACTAAGCACTTCTGTGCCAATTCCCAGGACTGCAAAGTCCTCCCACGCCCAGCGGCTGTGGGCAGGGCCCTGCCACTGTTAGCCAGCCTAGCCCAACTATTGTCACCATATGAGACCGTTTGTCCTGTGGTCGACTTGTTTGAAGGCAAGCCTCACATGACCTGCTTGTTACACTTGTTACCTTTCTGGCCCCTCAAAAAAAAAAACAAAAACAGCCATTGTTTTGAATTCTATGCTATAATGACTGTGGTGGGTATTTTTAGTCTAAATGTGGCCTGGAGCCTGCTTTGCCCTCCATAGCCATGTCAGCTGCTGGTTTGCTGGGGGATGGCCCGGCCTCCACTGGGGGCCTTCCAGCTGCTGTGGAAACAGTGGGTCACAGAGCAGCCTTTGGTGGCGTTTCTCACGGCAGCTGTGGCCTCACAGCAGGGCCCGCGTGGATCAGCAGAAAAGCTCGGAGGCCAGATGGCTGCCCGCTGGGGGACCTGGACAAGCCTCAGCCCAGAGGGAGGCCGAGGGGCACAGGAGGGAGGCTGGAGAGACCCTTCTCAGGCAGGACTGAACTCAGCGGTGTCCATACACCTGTAGAAGCAAAAATACGGATGTGGAACACCTAAGTGGCGGCCCACACACAGGGGAGGCCACCCCCAGGCCCACGGGAAACGCCACCCACCAGGCCTCCCATTTCATCCTCACCCTCGGCCACTGACTGCAATTCCACGCCACCGTGTCCTCACCGGATAAAGCCACTCCGAGCAGATGCCCCCTCATCCCATCGGGCAATGGACAGGTTTTGCAAAAGAAGCCTTCCAAGCCAGGCCTCGGGAGCATGGCCGTGGCTGGGCCGCTGAGCAGCCCCGGTGGTGCAGTGGTTAAGAATCCTGGTCCCCTTCCCCGGCAGCCGCTGTCTGTGGTGACTCACCTCTGGTTCCCAGGAACATGATTATTTTGGACCCCAGTGTTATTAAGATCAGGCCCAGATTGCCTACAAATCAGCAGTGAAGAAAGACAGGGGCCCCAGTGAAAGCAGGTCAAAACCTAGACCTCGTGTCCCTGCAGCCCCAGGGCTGGTTAAGCAGCTCCCGGAAAGCCCTCTGCCCGTGGATGGGGTGCCACCCTCACTTGGGGGCCTTGTCCTCTCCAGACGCCTCCTCCAGGCAGCCCCGTCTCTGCAGGACTCCTGCACCCAAACCAGGGGGAGGTGGGCAAGGGGTGCCCTTGCTCCCAGCTCTTGGAGGAGCTGCCCATTCTGCTCACAGCCCGAGGGGCCTGGGGCAGTGGAGTCAGGCCTCTGGGCTGAGCGCGCGGGCGAGGGCACCCCTGCAATCTACACGCCCCAGGCGGGCGCCTCCCCTCTGCGCAGCTCCGGGGCCCGATAGCGCCTCTGCTGCTGATAAAGTCCCCAGGCTCCAGGCTACCAGGCCCCGCAGAGGTGTCGTGGCTGCAGCAGCCCCAGCTGTTCCCGCAGCCAGTGGTGACTGATCTCAGAGATCCTGGTAGGGATGCACTTCCCGGGCTTCAGCAAAGTGAGTACTGGAGCAGCTGCTCCGAGGGGAGAGGGCGCTCGGGAAAGATGCGGAAGCAGGAGTGGGCGGGAAGGAGCGGACCTGTGTGCTCACCCAGGGCATGCACCCTGGGCTCTGAGCTTTACAATCACATCATCACTCATGCTCTTCGTTGCCGAAGGTAGCAGGTGGCCTCTGCTTGACTCAATTAATCCAGTTCATATTTTTTACAGCCCCAAATTTGCTGTCACATTGAGTTCCGCCTACCTGGGTCTCTGAATTATGTTCTCTCTGCATTAGGGGTTGGGAAGAAGGATCTTTGGGTTCTATTTCTTCAGTCTGTCTGTGGAGATTCTAGAAGCTTTCCTTTGATGTTACTGAGCCATGCATTTGCCAGGTGTGTGGTCACAGGCCTGTGGCCCTGAGGGAGCATAAGGGCACTTGTCAGGGGGTGCTCTGAAGGGGGCCGGGTCACCCCTGTCCGGAAGGGGCTTGTTTTCTCAAAGACCCACAAAAGCCAGTCACCTCATTGTCACGACTGCTCCGTTGTTGAAACACTGAACTTTGGATTCATGTTGCTGACTAAGGAGAGGGAAAATGTCTAAGAAAGAAGGGCTGAAGGTGGCTCTGGGATAGAGGGTATGAGGGTGCTCTTAAAGTGGCCACAGAGCGTTACAGGGGTCACCCCACCCCTGATTCTCCCAGTGATGATAGGACGTATCACCGTACCTCCAGCTGTGCCGTTTGTAAGGTGTCCTGGATCAGGGTGAGGTTCTTTGGTTTGGGTGGTGGATTCAGGCCAGAGATGGACCCCAGGCCACAGGCTGAGAGGGACGCTGGAGTCGACTCCAAGAAGGACATCTGCCCTTCCCCTCGTCTGAAAGTCTTTGGGTGCGGGGGAAACGATACTTAGTGGGAATTTCTTTTTAGTGGTTTGGAATCTTCACAGTTTGCTTTCCTGATGATTGATTTTTCCCCCCCCCAGGAAGGGGGAGGGTCTGTGGAGGAAGCCAGTGACCCCGTTTTAGTCTCTTCAGCAGCACGAGTCAGGTTAAGGTCACCGGAGTCTGTTCCTTTCACTTGGTCACCTGGGCCTCAGGTTCGCATTGAGTTCTTGGAGGTCCGCTCACTCCGGACCTCAGGACGCAGGGAAGTGGCTGTGGCACATAAGACACAGGGATTATCTCCAGAGCCAAATACACGCCCGACATTTTGCAGGAATGAATGAGGAACGGCTTATGAACCACTTGCTTAAAATCAGCGTGATCGCCTTCATCGACCAAATCACCTTGTGCGAGTCACTGTTTTCTGTGTGTTTCTCTCTCTCTGGAAACTGGGTCTGCTCTGAAGCTGAATGTGAAAACCTTAGGAAAGGAAATAAGTCTTGAGGGTGGTTTCTATAAGCAGGGCTGTCTAAACTCAGCTGACCCCTGACTTCAGGGGTCAGTGATTATGAGCTTCTAAACCCAGGTTGCCACCCCTCACCCCCCAGTGTCTGCAAAATCAGCTGGCTTATCTTGAGCGGAACACGTTGAGAAAGGCAGGCTTTTCATTGTTGCTGTTGCCAAAAAAATAAAAGAGAAAAAGTAAGAAAGATAAGAGAGGCAAAGACAAAGGCAAAGTAACAGAAGATCGCCGTCTTCAGAGTCTGCCCAGCATTTAAGCAGCTCTCCTCACGTACCGCTGTGGCAGTCCTGGTGTGGCCCTGGGGACGCAGCTGTGAACAAAACATACACAGCCCTGCCCTGTGGAACTGACGATCCAGCAGGGCCTGGAGACAGACTAAAAACAAAATAAATGAGTCCTCATTTATTAAAAGATGAGAGTTGCTATGAGGCAGGGAGCAGGCAGGGGCTAAGATGCGTGAGGACTTATGCCATTAAAATAGGCACTCAGAGGCTTCCCTGGTGGCGCAGTGGTTGAGAGTCCACCTGCCGATGCAGGGGACACGGGTTCGTGTCCCGGTCTGGGAAGATCCCACATGCCGCGGAGCGGCTGGGCCCGTGAGCCATGGCCGCTGAGCCTGCGCGTCCGGAGCCTGTGCTCCGCAACGGGAGAGGCCACAACGGTGAGAGACCCGCGTACTGAAAAAAAAAAAAAAAAAAGACACTCAGCAGGCCTCAGGGAGGTTGACTTTGGCTGTTGTGTTTCAAAGCTAGATTCCACAGGACTATTAATAAAGGATTGTAATTTGCTGTCCAGAATCTTAAATATCAGACTGCGTTGATTGTCAGAAGCTACAGATTTCTCAGTTACATCATCCCTGTTGCGATGGGTCCCCTTAGAAACCAGCAGAATTTGTGATGCCTGCGTACGCTGTCCTGTGAGGCTCCGGTGGGCCCAGGCTGATGCTCACCTTTCTGGCTGGCCCAGCTGCATGGATGGCATTTTAGGCCTCTTGTCTCTGGGTTGCCAGGATTTCTCACGTCAAACTGCTGATGATCGCATTTGCCCATTGTGATCTGGGGAGGTGGGGAACTTGTATAGCACGGCTGGTTAAATGTGTTATGGGCACCCACGGACATAATGATCTTGGTTAGGGATATTCTTAAGAACAAAGAATATTACTTTTTACACCTCCTATTTAAAAAAAACAAAAAAACGCTGAGCAAAGACTTGAAGGAGGTGAGGGAGGTCCTGCAGGGCTCTGGAAAAAATGGCAGATGCCGGGCTTCCCTGGTGGTGCAGTGGTTAAGAATCCGCCTGCCAATGCAGGGGACACAGGTTCGAGCCCTGGTCCAGGAAGATCCCACAGGCCGCGGAGCAACTAAGCCCGTGTGCCACAACTACTGAGCCTGCGCTCTACAGCCCGCGAGCCACAACTACTGAGCCCGTGCACCTAGAGCCCGTGCTCTGCAACAAGAGAAGCCACCGCAGTGAGGAGCCCACACACGACAATGAAGAGTAGCCCCTGCTCACTGCAACTAGAGAAAAGCCCTCACGCAGCAATGAAGACCCAATGCAGCCATAAATAAATAAATATTTAAAAAAATAAAATGACAGATGCCAAGACCCTGTGGCAGGCATGACTGGAGCAAGGGGAAGGCGGAGTAAGAGGCAGTGGGGTCACAGCGGTGGCAGAAGGGAGGGATGGGACAGGGGCAGGGGCAGGGGTACAGAATGCGTGAGGCCTCGTGCGCCATCAGAAGGACATTACTTTTACCCTGAGCAAGATAAGAGACATTAGACAGTCTTGGGATTGGACAGATGGTGTGATCCAACTTATCCCTTGACCCATGACCTTCTGACGCCTTTGAAACCAAACTCCGAGGGACGGAGTTATCTCTGACCTCTCGTGCAATTGTTCTCAGCCTTTCTTTTTCCTCTGGGATGCACAAGGCTGACTGCTGACGTAGTTGCGGATGATCGATTTCACGGCCACCCCCCGGGTATTGATAACCCCCTCTCCCTTACACTTTGCGATTTAATGAGAAAATAAATAGTGCCACAGATGCTCTTTACTTAAAAACTTGCCATGGGTAAAATTAAAAAGGAAACAGAAGCCACTATAAAATCACAATTCACACGCAGTACAGCAAGTTGCCATCCCTGCTGCTGGTCCTTCGTTGTTTTCTCTGGACCTCCGTGTGGATGGAGCAGACTGAGGTTCTGGAGCTCTGGCTGCCCAGAAAGCTTACTGGGTAAGCATGAGGAAGCAGAGTTGCCAGAGGGGGAAGCTTGAATTTGCTCTAAGTTTTGAAAAGCAGTAATGGTCTACTTCTTATAGAAGGCCTTGCTCCCCGGGATCCATTCTTCTTCTTTTTTTTTTTTAATAAATTAAGTTATTGATTTATTTTTGGCTGCATTGGGTCTTTGTTGCTGCACGCGGGCTTCTCATTGCGGTGGCTCCCTTGTTGCAGAGCACGGGCTCTAGGCGCGGGCTTCAGTAGTTGTGGCTCGCTGGCTTCACTAGTTGTAGCGGACAGGCTTAGTTGCTCCACGGCATGTGGGATCTTCCCGGACCAGGGATCGAACCCATGTCCCCTGCATTGGCAGGCAGATTCTTAACCACTGCGCCACCAGGGAAACCCCCAGGATCCGTTCTTTACACACAACCAAGGTGATTCTGTAGCGAGCCCATCCCACCCTGTCACTGCCCTGCTGCGAATCTTCTATAGCTTCACCTTGTTCTTAGGATGGAGTCCAAACTCCTTCCTGGGACCCCTCCCGCCCTGCCCGCCCATCTTTCCCCGCCCTGCTTCCTACTCTGTGCTTCCAGACCTGTCAGCTCCTCCAAACTTGGAAATTGTTCTGTTGCATCTGTAAACTTCACACGTGGGGTCTTGTGCTTGCTTTGTCCACTGTTGTTTCCTCGGCACACGGCACAGTGTCCAGCACATAGCAGGTGCTCATGAAATACCATTGCATGCGTGAATGAACAAAAAATTACTTGCAAAAAGCACCTCACGACTGATTGCTGCTCACTAGTTTGGTCACAAGCCTGCAGTCCGAGCTCTAGTGGTTTGTGTGTGTGACTTTTTAGCTACTCTGCTCTTGGGACTTTTTTTTTCAACCCACAAGATAGTTTCTCCTTCCTCTGAAGCCTCCTTGTGTTTTATTGGAACCTCCCTTGAGGCACTTGTCATTTTCGACGTCTTTCATTTATTTACACGGGTATCATCTCCCACAGGCCAGGGCGGCAGGAGGAGGGAACAGCCCAGCTGACTCATGTCTGAGTCACTTTATGTTCCCAGGCACCAGCCCAGGTCTTGAACGTGGGGCTGAAAAAAAACATATTTGTTCAATGAAGTCGTTTAAAACCAATGAATGAGCCTGAACTCTTGCTTCTCCTTCACTTACCCACACTGTGAGCCCTGACTGAGTGTTAGGAATATATCGGGGCGTTTATTTGGAAAATCAATCTCCTGCAGACCCCATGCAGAAGCCGCAGTCACAGCCCGGTGCCCAGCTGGCCATACCGCCTGGTTTCTCTGAGATGCCCGGCGTGGATGGAGGTCCATGTGAGTTGGCCCAGGGCAGGCTCGAAGTTTGTCATCATTTCCCGACAGGCAGTGACAACC